TTAGGTTTACAGAAAATTTACACAAAATAACAAAGTTTTCATATACCTCCTATACCCCTGACCCCTAAGCGTCCTCAATTACTGACATTGTGTATTAGTGTGGTACATTTGTTATGGCTCATGAACCAATACTGACACATTATTAACTCAAGACCACAGTTTACACTGGGATTCACTGTTTGCGTCCTATGGGTTTATGGGTTTTGACAAGTGCATAATCTTATGGAGCCACCATTACAGTACCATACAGAATAGTCTCCCTGCCCTAAAAATGCCCTGTGCTCCAGCTATGTATTCCTCCTCTCCTTCCCCTGAATCCCTAGAAAACACTGATCTTTTTACTGACTCCATAATTTTCCATTTTTCAGAAAGCCATATAACTGGTATCATATAGCATTATAATCTTTTCAGACTGCCTCTTTCACTTAGCAATATGCATTTAAGTTTCCAACTTGTCTTTTCATGGCAGGATAGTTCATAGTTCTTATTTTTATCGCTAAATAATATTCCATTGTCTGGATGTACCAGTTTCTTTATCCATTCACATCTATTGATGGGCATCTCGGTTGCTTCCAAGTCTTGGCAATTATGAAGAGAGCTACTAAAAAATGTGTGTACAGGTTTTTGTGTGGACATAAATTTCAACTCATTTGGGTAAATGCCAAGGTGCATGATTGCTGGACTATATGACATTAGTTTTGTAAGAAACCACCAAACTATCTTACAACGTGGCTGTTCCATTTTGTATTCCCACCAGCAATGACAGTTCCTGTTGCTCCACATCCTCACCAACATTTGGTGTTGTCAGTATTCTGCGATTTGGGCTATTCTGATGGGTGTGTGTGGTAGTATCTCGTTGTTTTACTTTGCAGTGCCCTGATGACACATGATGTGGGCATCTTTTCATATGCTTATTTGCCATCTGTATATCTTCTTTGATGAGGTGTCTCTTCAGATTTCTTGTCCATATTTTAATTGAGTTGTTTGCTTACTTATTATTGCGTTTTAAGAATTCTTTGTATATTTTGTATACTGCTCCTTTATCAGATACGTATTTTGCAAATATTTTCTCCTAGTGTGTGGCCTGTCTTTTCATTCTCCTAACAGTGTCTTTGGCAGAGCAGAAGATTTTACTTTAAATGAAGTCCAACTTAAGTTTTCTTTCATGGATTAGGCTTTTAGTGTTGTATCTAAACAGTGTTCACATACCCCAGGCCATCTAGGTTTTCTCTCATGTCATTTTCTCTCATGTCATCTTCTAGAAGTTTTATAGTTCTGCATTTTACATTTAGATCTATGACCCATTTGGAGTTAATTTTTGTGAAAGGTATAAGGTCTGTGTTTAAATTCATTTTTTTTGCCTGTGATATCCAGCTGTTTCAGCACAAAATCTGGATTTTATGTGAAAACTTCTGATTTTAAAGGTTGATTCACTCTTTATTTATTTACTTATTTGTTTATTTATTTTTGGTGGTAGTGGTAGGGGAGGAACTACAACTCCCCCTCCCTTAACACATATCTGCAGGGGAAATTTACCCATCCTGGCATCCTGGATCATCTCTGCCTCCCTCATCCCCCTTACCTGGAATACTCTTCTTCGACTAAGTCTTTCCTAATGCCCAACACACACTTTATCCACCCCACCTTTCCCTACTCTGAGCTGGTATGTGTGCTCATGAGATATTCAGTTAACAGTTGCTGAACTCTAAACACACTTAGGACCTATAAGTCCCACATAGCATTGCCATATGCCATTGTCTTTCCTCCTTGGCTAGACTGTAAACTCCTGGGGAAGGCAGAAATCTTCTTTTTCTGGTTTACCCCAGGTAGCTTAGCATGATGGATCTAGGCACAAAATAGGTACAGCCAGACTTGCTGACCAGCCAGACTAGCTGGACTTCTGTCCTGGCTTACAAACTGTCCTTGATCTTCAGGAGGGATGGCTCCTTCAGGAGTCTGGCTGAGGATCTGCCAAAGATTTAACAGCCTTGCTCTGGCACGGGTAGTATGCTGGCATCTCTAATTTTGATGCCTGATTTAGCACTACACTCACATAAATAGGAGGGCCATGATCTCCTTGGAGAATTAGGGAAGATTTACCAATGATACAGGAAAAAGCATTATTGGAGGTACCATTGTACCAGGAGTAACAAACATGTTTCTTTCATTATGATTTCCACATGGTCATAATGATCATCCCAGTCATTATGAAAAACAGAGAAAAAAAAAGTGAAATAAAAGGAACAGATAATTTCCTGGTGACTGGAAACCTTATGCCTAAGTAACAGTCAAACTGATGGTAATCCTCCTACCCCTGCTTTATCTCTCGTTTTCATCTGCATCATTAAGTGTTCCCATTCAAGGATCTCTGTTCACTTCAAACTAAACAACGATGGAGGGAGCAAAAGGGTCTAGAACTGCAGTTGAGACCCACGTGGTCTTGGCCGGTTGCAACTGAGCCTGGTCACCGTGGCGTGTCTGTGCCGACAGACTCTCAGAGTTGATTGACTCGGGCAAGGTGCTGCACCTTCCATCTGCCAGGACAGCCCAACTTCTGTCCTTGGTCCACCCAGGCACGTCACAGGCAAGAAACACCAGGGCGGAAGGAGTCCAGGAACATCACCTCACTGCCCTGGGTTTGAGAATCAGTGGGAAGCCTGTCTGCAGAGATGACGGGGGCTTTGGGATGGCTCCCGCTCAGGGCCATGGCAGAGGCTGGCATCGACGCTGGAATTGGCGCTGCTTCCACCTCAAGAACAATACTCTCTGACCTTAGGACTCACAGGTATCAGTCAGAGGCTTACCTCGCCTGAAGGGACAGCAGTCTTGCTGGAAACACACCCACACTTGTATCTCCAATCCTCCTCTAGAGACAAATCAGTAGAACTATTCCTGGCATCACCCTCCCTTTCCTGGGAAAGCCCCCCAGATCTGCACCAGGCAGGAAATAGTCCCTCTGGTTGGTATGAAGTGGGTAGTGTGATTCTCAGTAAGTTATGAAAAACAAATCACATCTAAACACCTAAAAAATAAAAAATCCCAAGCCTCCTCCTCCAGAACCCATTTAAAAGACATATCCTCCTTTTCCACTTAGCTGCTTATGCCTGTGAAGTGGGTAGAGTGATTCCCAGTATGTTATGAAAAACAAATCACATCTAGACACCTAAAAAGTAAAAAATTCCAAGTCTCCTCCTCCAGGACCCGTTTAAAAGATAAATCCTCCTTTTCTGCTTAGCTGTTTAAGCAACCTCTTTGTACAGACTGTACTCAGCAGTGACTCAGGGGCCCACAGCTACAAGTCACTGAAAAATAAAGATTAAAGACCACTAGTTGGTACTTGCTAGCCAGAATCAGGGGATGTTAAGCAACCTGGGGTAGAAATCCAACCTTGCTCATGCTGCACAGATTTAAACCGACTGGAGGGAGGAAAAAAAAACCCAAAAATGAAACAGAATTTCCTTAATGTCTAGGAAAGCAGGTATAGGAGAGCCTGAGAAAGCCACACCTGGAGACAGGCAGACTCGACAGCAAGCCCAGCCATGGAGAGCCAGAAGAGACTTACTGCCCATAAGCTGAACAAACTCAATTATTTTGAGTTGAGGCACTGGTCCACTTCTAGTGAACAAACACACTACCTACCAAACAACAGGCAAGTAATTAAACTTCCTGAACGTCAGTGCTATTTAAAGCTGCCAACGACTAAAAAGAGATCTGATTTTCTCAGTTTAAGATTTCATCCTACACTGCAGTTACATTTTAAAAACCTCTTAAGTCCATTTTGGAATCATTTTTCCTCCCAAACATTTAATATTCCTTAGTGTCTCCTAAGGCAAAAATTTTTGAACCCATTTTGCAGATTTGTAAATACCTTTTTTAAATTAAGAATATTTTTTTTTTTGGATATGAGGTCTTACTATGTTACCCAGGCTGGTCTTGAACTCCTGGCCTCAAGCAATCCTCTTACTTCAACCTCCCAAGTGCTGGAATTTCAGGCATGAGCCATCGTACCTGGCCAGATTTGCAAATATCTTAAAGAGAGAGAATGGCAAGGTGCCATCACGCAAGCGCAGCATGCAGACGAGCAGGAAAAGGTTGTTGACATCTCGGTATCTCATCTGCATGCTGGTGTCTCACCAAGTCAACAGCTGCCCTGAAGACAGTCTGTGGCTGAACCTCAAACTATTTTCACTAGAGAAAGGCAAAGTCAACTCTGTTTTTCCTGAGTCTTATGTAACTGTAGCCTGAGAGTCCAACTGTTCTGGTCATGGCCTCACATTCTTTCTGCAAAGGCTCTAGTTGACAAGATTTATGGGGTGGTCTGAAGAAGCATGCTAAGCAATGTGGGATGAAACCACAAGGGAGAACTTTCTGGTTCTAGCAAAGCAGATCTAATTTCCATGGGGGATAAAACAAGCAGCCCCCAAACCGTCTTTGCTATGGGTGCTCAATGCCCAAAAATGAAGCAAAAGGTGTCTTATCTTTTACAGTCTCTGCTAAGAGGTCACTGTCCTGCTGAGGTTTGAGGACATGAAGACACAAAGGGCTGCTGGGGGCTCTTCTTTGCAGACATGGACATAGCACTGAACATTCCCAACACAGTAGGGGGAAGGGAACCCGAGACAACATGAATGAGTGGAACAGATTTGGCTCCTGATCTACTGAGCTACTACAGTCCCTGACTGTTTGTATAACTCAAAGAAATCGCTTTTCATGCCCAGCAGCCAGCACAGGCAATAGCTACCACCGAAGCCATCTCAGCAGTACAATAAATCAAAGATCATCAAGGCTAAGAAGCAGTGTGTTAAGAATAATGAACCCCACTTTGCGATGATGATGGTTAAAAAACCCACAACAAACCAGCCAAGCTCCAAGATTAGGCAAAAGGTTTAAATAATGTTCAGAAGACAATAACCCAAAGTTGGATGGAGCCAGACAGCAAGTTCTGGCTGGAATAGCTGACCAAAGCCCTTGTGTGGCGGGCCGCTGGACATCATACTTACAGTGAGTTGGGCCGGGTGGGTTTGACCACATCCAGGTCTGGATCACTGGAGTTCATGTTGGGCTGTAAGCTGCTGCTGGAATTAAGGATGCTGTTTGGGTTTGATGAGACAGATTCCAAACTGGAGTTGATGATGCTGTTCCTTTGTTCCTCTGGGGGTGAGAGGGAAAGGCCAAAAGCCACATATTAGTATTATTGCATAGAGACGGTCTGTTCTTACATGCACAAAAATGTACAAAAATGAGATTAAATTGAGAGCTCTGATCCCAATGAAGCTCAAGAAAGGACAAAGGAAAGGGTGAGAATTAAAAGTGGGAAAGGAAGAGTCAAGGGGGAATAGCTGACTTGAAACTTCAGAGCAAAATCCCCTCCTCCTCGTAGCAGGATATACCTCGTCTTCAATCTAAGCCGGGATTTCTCCTAAGAGTGGCCCTACCATAGCACCATAAATTGTGTCTTCTTTTGACCAGCAAGAACACAGAACAACCTTCATAGACCCCTGGCATTCAACCAGATCCTCTTGGCTTCTGTGACTCTCATTTTTTATTCTAAATCTCCTGCCTCTAATATTATCCTAACTGATCAGGCCATATCCTGCCTCCAACTACTTGGCCCCTCACCACAGAATATCTACTATGTGGCCATCAACTTCCTTAGGACTCAGCCAGTCTAAATTCCTGACCCCCTCCCCTAGACACATCCTTCTGCGTTGCCTCTAGCTCCATGCAGTTGATGTTTAACTTCAAATTAATTCTGTGATGAATAGATCTGTAATAGGCTGCAAAGTAGTCTGTATATACACAAACAAACAAAAAGAACCCAGTCCACAGGCCAAGCAGTCGTGTTCATGCTTGGAGAATATTACCGAGAAACCTGAATTCTCTTCAAGGCTCCACCCCTGACTGGCTGTGTGGCCTCAGGCAATTTCTACTTGGTCTGGGATTCCTGGTTAAGGAATCTATAAAATGGGAGAACGAGAACTGCCTTGCACAGCTTGCGGAGCTCGCATGGGGATCAAGTGGGATCATGTGCAGGAATGTATTTTGTAAACTTTAGAATATTGCTCAAAGAACTTTCTGTTTCTCCCCATCTTTAAAAACTTGGAACCATGCATTGAAAAAAACATTCTGGGGGATGATTGAGCTAAATGGCACGGGCACCACTGCTGTAGCAAAATAATACAGGCTTGAAAAGTCGTTCTCATCCCCCATTCATTGCAGGTACACCCTGTTGAAATAAACTGATGTTTTTGGCAATTAATTCACTTACATATCGTTTCTGGGTTAATCCTCACTGGATCTTTTTGAAATGAGCTAGAGGTATACTATATTCCTAAGAGAACAGACTAGAATCACTGGCATGATAATTTAGAGGTCAACATTTGAACTCAGGTCTCTTTAGGCAATAAAGGAGGTGATGTCATAAAAATACTTTCCCCTTTGCACTAGTCATGTCTGTAAAAATAAAGTATGCTTATGAAATGATGTTATTTAATGTGATGCTTGCATTAAATACACACACAAGCCCTCAACACCCCCACATATCTTAGCAAATTCTTAATGCTCTGGATAAAGTCCATGGGAGATTTAAAAACTCTGTGGGTTATTGGGAGAGTCCTGAACCATAAGCAGACTTTGAAAAAAGTAGATTATTAAATTGATGCCTTAGATTTAGAACTGCTCATACTTTAAGAGCTTAAGTTTCAGAGTAAGACAACAACAAAGAAAGAGAAACCAAAAGAGTTACATTGAGCCAAGATGTAGGAGGACTAACAGGGGCTGTAAATGGGAACTTGCTATCAGGAAGAAAAACAACACGAAAATTACATAAGTAGGGGATCATTGAGAGAATGGATATGCCATTTATCAGTATGAATCACTGTAAGTAAAATTTTCCTTTTCACGAAATATTCATACAAAGATTTCTGCAAGATTATGAAGAGCCCAAGACCAACATACGAAGAAGGGGAGTGAAGACGACTCTCTGGGCTTAAACTGGAGACATTTCCTGCATCACATGGGAGGAGAGAGAAACAGTTTTATTAACTCCAGTTTGAGAAGTTTGAAGGACCAAGTCTGCATGACATGATGCTCTGAATTCTTAGGAAATAGAAGAGTTTAACTATAGGTCATATTTCTCCTGTGATTATATTTACTTGTCCATGAAAGGGTTGTGATTCTACAAACTAAAAACAATACCTTGCTAAAAGTGTATCGGTCTTTCTAAAACATTACCAGGACATTCTTTTTCTCCCTTGCTATCCATTAGGTAAGGGGAGTATAAAAAATTTATAAGGTTCATAGTTTTGCAGACAAGATAGCCAAATATGCATCCAGAGAGGCAGACTATTGGTTTCCCTCACTGGGCCACATGACAAGGAAATCCAGAAACCTGGTACTGCTTGACTACAAAATAAGTCTCATTATCTGCACACGGCAGGTAATGAGACTGAGAACTTCTAGGTGGAAGATCTAAGCTGAAATGCTGACAATCTTTCCTGAGCGTGAGTAGGAAAGTGAGAATTATTTCAGAGAAAGCAGAGAAAGAATGAAGAATAGAATCAACAGCAAATCAAATGTTTTAGTGGTTATGGCAAACTATACCAGGACAAATTCTAAAGCATTTGGAATAAATTAAAAAATGAAGAGAAAATGATTCAGTAATGTCACTTACAACAGGATTTTTTTTTTGTCAGGTGGGCAAATGAGTACCTGCTCCTGACAGAAAGGCATGAGAATAGGCAGCCCAGCAGACTTTTTGTTTCTTTTAAAATAAAAATTAATCACATCTTTCAAAGAACAGAGCTGGACTTCCCTGAGTCACTGATGATTCAATCCAGCTCTGGTATCCTCATCAGAAGGTATAAGAAGGGCTGATGGCAATTACGTTGCTGTAGGGAAAAAATTATAGACTAGTGGGCTTCGAACGAAAAACAATCAGTTATGAGTCAAGACAACAGATCAGAGAGAACCATTAAATGACAAAAAGAGAAAGAATGCCTACAACTAAGGAGTATTCCTAAACCGGCTGAGGTCAGTGAGAATGCTTGCCTTCCTCAAACCTGTTTGTCAACAACAAGAATCTCTCTTCGTATTACCCACAGAAAGAAGTGCCCAGAAACAAGGAAATGATAAAATAAAATAAATCCCCCCCCAACTGTAAATATGCATTGGTAACGCTTTCACGAACACACGTTCTACAAGGAATGACAAACTGGATGTGGACTTGGTACTTAAGGACGCAATTACGCAAGGGCAGGGCCATGTTGTCTGGCCACGCGGCATCCGTTAAAGTGACTTGTGAGGTCCGTGTTAGCCATACATTCCTGGTGCCCAGCCTATGGATCATTTATACGAAAGCTCCATGAATGGTTATGAGATGAATAATAAATATAAGGGAATAATACACAATCAAAAATTTAATCTGCTGGAACAGAAAGACACAGTTATGTGGGACTGAATTTTTCAGGTGCTTCAGACAGGGGACCATTAACGTCCTTGAAACCAAAGCACTGATGACAGTGAGCAGAGTTTTTATTTTTTGTACAAATCAGGAGTGGAAAAACATGAGCATGCAACCCAATCACTGCAACTAAAAGAGGAAAGCCGCAGAACAATTTTGGTGATATTGTACTTGTTCTGGGGGTTGCCATGGAAATCTGGGAGCTAAGCTACTTCACTTTCCATATTTACGAAGAGACTCCGACTCACTCTAATGGCAACCCCACCACACGCGGGAGGCAGGATCTCTGTTTATCACAGAACCCAGAGGCGAGGCCAGGAAGGCACATGCAGAGCCAAGCCAAATCCACATGTCTTGGCAGGCCCGGACATGTCTGGCCCACTGAATACACAGAGCTGGAGGGTAAATAGGAAACACAGATCTTGAAGTTGGTGCTGGGAAAGGTTTCCCAGCGTGTGTGGAAGTCTGTCAGAACACAGGCTAACATCCCAACTTTCCATGATGCGGAAGACTAGAGGGCAAAAGAACAGGGAAGAGGACTGCTCTTTAACAGCAGCTCCGGGTGCCTCGCAGAGCCAAAAGGAGGGAACTCTCTCTCCACATGATCAAGCAGGGAGAAAAGGGAGTTGCCAGACGGATGGAAGTCTTGCAAAGACACAGAGCTTTCTATAAAAAAGAGGAAGGCAAAAGCAAAATACCCAGAGGCTTTCCTGTGCTATGGTCAGGAGAGAGGTGTACTCTCTCCTGCTTGTCAAAGTTTTGCAATGAAGTCTGTGATATATCATCTTGACAAGATAGGATGATAATAGCACGACAGCTTAATGAATTTTGCAATAAAAAATGATGCGTGCACAGCAATTTCTGAATTTACCATCTCTGGGAAACACCCAAGTACATGGGAAACTTGGAATCAGACTTTCTGGAGCAATTTTTTTTTTTTTTCTTGTAGCTTTTGCTACTGATAATAGTGGCATGCCAAGCCATACCTAAGTCTCAGGTGGTCTGGTTTCATGCTGACCCAGTCTCAGTCCCTGTGATAAAAATAATCTTAAAAGCAGTTTGGGTAATGTGCTCGGGCATATAAAAACAGCTTGGGTAACGTTTTAAAAAAATAATCTTAAAAAGCAGTTTGGGCAGTGATGAACTACACAGTGAGTTGATAAGTGAAAAACATGGTCGATCCGTTGTTTTGATCACAGTACACGGTGTGAGATATTAAAACTTTTGGCAGGTTGTCGTCAGCAAAACCACCTCTGATTTTGGTCCTGTGTGGACTGCCTTATTCTTTCCCAAGGGCACCCATAATAACGCTTTTCTTTGCAAAGGGGAAAAAATGCCAATAAAACTGGATTTCACGAGACAAAAAGAGAATGGGGAAGTCATCGTGGCTGGCCCAGGGTGGAACTGATTCACAGGAATGAGACGGTGGAGGCACAGTGGGGAAGCCTGGCCTTAAAACAACACCATTTCAGAAACCACAAGGTAGGGACGAGCCTTTAATTAACGGTTGCATCGGGGGTTGAATGATCCAAGTTTAATGGTCACTCTACGACTTTCGACATAGCCCTCTTTTCTACCTGAGAACTAACTTTTCCTTTCCTGTTAACCTGCGATTGCCCAGTATCTGAGGGACTCGGCATATCGCTTACTTTCTTGCTCATCACAAACAAGGAAACTATATATTTACTTA